TGGTGTATTATTTTAATAATTGTATCTTTTCTTAAATTTTTTAAACTTTTTTTATCTTGCTTGTGAGATGCCCAGAGTCCCTATGGGAGTGGGCGGCATACAAATACTATTAAACTATTAAACTATTAAACATTGTTCAAAGAATGCAATTACTTTAGATTAATAGAAAGACTGCATTAAAATACAATCCTAATTTCTGTGTAGAACAGTGGGGACTGTTTCCAAATAATTTTAAAAATTGGCATCTGGATTTGCTTTGTGTCCTCTCCTCCTTTCCCACCCATTTTTGGTATCATATTTTTAATGTAACATGTTACCCTGAGGGTAAGAATAAGACACTACAGGCTACTGAATAGGATAAACATTTTCAATGAATAATATAATGTATTTTTCAGACTATAAGATGCACCAGAGTATAAGAACACCTTAGTTTTTGGAGAGGAAAATAAGAAAAAAAAATCTGTCTCTGCCTACCAGTATCCATGGTATTCATCTGGCTAGCATCCTGTAAGTGTGTGAGAAAGTTGAGGTCTGTTTGGAAACAAACAGTATTTGCTGTGTGAGCAACAAGGAAGAAGCCAGAAAGGAGCCAGGGCGTGGCTTGTTCTGTACTAAAGCTGCATGCTGTGCTGATATCTGAAACTAAAACTGAAAGTGAAACTTCTCTGCTGAACTACCATGTCGGGAAACGTGCTTTTGGTATTTTATATTTACTTAATGTGTTATATTTTATATAAAGAGAAGTTATTGTATCCTGCTGAATCACTTACTTGTGTGTGCTTGCTGGATGTGATTGCAGCTGCAAACTCTGACATGTCCTTGCAGTAAATAGCAAAGCAGGTCAGCTTCAGCACATTATTGCAGCCTGATTCAGCATGAACAGCTGATTGGCGGGTGGATCGGCCTCCCTGAATACCTCCAGTCAGCTGTTTCAGGCTGCAGGGATTTCCACAGACCATTGTGTCCTCTGTGCCTCAAATTTTTGGCTACATTCAGTCTATAAGAGGCACCCAAATTTTCACCCTCTTTTAGGGGGGGGGGTGGAGTGCGTCTTATACTCCAAAAAATACAGTACATCAAATTTACATTATTCATTTCTGAAATGCACATAGCACAAAAGTTGTAAATTTCATGTTTTTGAGAACTTAATTCACAGGAAAAGTTTTATGGGTTAATAATTTAGTTATATATTTAATTAGAATCCTACCACTATGTTATAATTTTACTGAGATTTTATCAAAATATTTCTTATTAATAGGAATAGAGTGGAGATTATATTACAAAAGCAAACCATTAAGCCCAAGGCACATTACAAAAAAGATTTTTGACAAAACACTGTATTATATTAGTATAAAAAATGTCTTTTCTCAGAACAATAGTTTTGTTAGACAAGATATGTAAGAAAGTCATGAACAACAAGAAGAAGTAATTCCTAGCTGTAGAAGTCCAGATGAGTCACTATAAAATCAACGACTACAGAATTATAAATAGAAAACAAAGAAATGAAAGACTTCTGAGGAAAAAGGAAGGGAATGGATCCAAGACAAATATTTTAGAATGTCCAGGGATTCCAGTGAATTTTGGCTAAAAGTGGATTATTTATCTGAAGTGGTCAGGCTTTAATCATGTCCAGGTGCCATACTATACAGGCATCTTAAATTCTAGGTGCCTGGAAATCTAATCTGAATAGCTCTGTAGATTACAGACTGTAATACGATAGCCCTCAATAAAATTAACAACAGTTCAAAATTAACAACAGTTTGAAGTCACAATGGCTTCAGACACAACTTATGTTTGCACAAATGATGATTGCAGTATTGAGGCTTGAAGCTAATGGTCCCAAGTATTGAAGCTCAAGTCTGGACAAAGATTCTAATCTCAGAATCATGTTTGATCCCACTGGCTGGTGCCTCTGCTGTAGTGGCAGGTTTCTGTTATTTTTACCACCAGTATGCTTGTGCATGTGCGTGCGCAATGCTTCTGCACATGCACAGAAGTGTCCGGGAGGGTGGAGCCTCTCACCACCACCACTACTGGTTCTCCCAATTCAGGCCGAACCTGAACCAATCCACCTCTGCATGCTGCTGTTAGATATCCCGTTGTGCACCGCACCTGCACAGCTGGAGTTTTGCAGTCTTGGCCTCTCCCCTGACTATTTAGATGAATTAACCTTGTAGAAGTCCAAATCAATAGTAGTAAAAGCAATAATTAGGGATACTGATTGCCAAATGATGTCATCAGTGCCTCTGAATTCTATTGCCAATTGTTAGACTCAGATAACCCAGATAATTTAATTTTTAGTCTATAAGTGCCATCTCTTTGTCTACAGCGAATAAAGTCAGTTATGCATTACCATGAGTCTTATAGCAAAATAATAGGAATAAGTAATAAAAAGTCTGTGTGTGTTGTGGAATGTATTTACTTCTTCCCATATGCCACCAATAGGCAAATTCTAGATAATTATTTTGCAGCATCTACAAAGTTGCATATCTAGATACAGAAATTTGGAAGTTTTTCAAATCCACATAAGAAATTAATGCAATCTAATCTTTTAACATGATTATAAAGAACATCTGATAATTCCCGTATGCCAATATATAGAGAGGCAAATAAAGGTTCTGCATTTTTTTACCTGATATTATAAAAAATATACACCAAGTTACTATGCTACTCCATGAGCTTATATTCTAAGATAAAAACTTAAAGGTAAATGTTTCCCATGTCCAGTCATCTCCAACTTTAAAGGGCAATGCTTATCTCTGTTTCTTAACCAAGAATCCAGTGTTGTCCAAAGACATTTCTGTGGTTATGTGGCCAGCATGACTATATGCTGAGGTGCACAAAAGGCAATTTGAGGTTGAGGTTTGTTTTATTTATATTCCGCCCTATTCCCAAAAGGGACTCAGGGTGGCGAACAACTCAAGCGGGAAAGGGAACACACAAATACAAGACAAGCATTTAAGATAGCCAACAACCACACCTGTCAAGAGGGGAAGGGAGCTCGTCAACTCCAGGCCTGCCGACACAGCCAAGTTTTAACGGCTTTTCGGAAGGCCAGGAGAGAGGTGAGGGTCCGAATCTCTGCGGGGAGTTCATTCCAAAGGGCCGGAGCTGCAACAGAGAAGGCCCTCCCCCGGGTCGTAGCCAGATGGCATTGGCTGGTAGACGGAACCCGGAGGAGGCCGACCCTGTGCGATCTAATGGGTCTTTGGGAGATAATTGGCAGCAGGCGGTCTCTCAAGTACCTAGGTCCAATACCATGAAGGGCTTTATAAGCACCTTGAAGCGTATCCGGAGACCAATTGGAAGCCAGTGCAGCTCCCGGAAGATAGGTGTAACGTGGGTGTATTGAGGTACACCCACAATCGCTCGCGGGGCTGCATTCTGGACAAGTTGAAGTCTCCAAATGCTCTTCAATTTCCTTCCCATCGTAGTGGTACCTATTTATCTACTCACATATGCATGCTTTCGAACTGCTGGGTGGCTGGGGCAGGTAAAAGGACTCCCCCTGTCACACAGCACTTGGATCTTGAACTCAGGCTGTCAGCTTTCTAGCTGACAACTCAGCATCTTTAATTACTGAAACAGTTTCTATTAGTTGTTATCTTTCTTGTTTAAAAAAAAAAGATATAATCAAATTTAAGTTAAATTGCTGTGGGAATGTGGATGGCAAGAAGGGGGAAAGAAGATAATTTTAACATATAGAAGAGACAATTAAGTCAATGCAAAGTTCTCACGGAGGTATAAATAACCAGGCTGAAATTATCATACTTGGTCACATTATGCAAATATCCAGTTCCTTAAAAGTCTATAACAGTAAAAAAAGTGAAAGCAAAAATAAAAGGACAGCCATAAAGTGTTTGGACTTTTAAAATGATAATCTGTCGAAGATCTGAAGAGCAAGTTGAGCAGAGACCATCCTGAAGAAAGTCAATTTCTGTGGTGGTAAACCTATGGCATGTGTGCCCAAAGTGGCTGGTCTTCCATTTTCCGGCGTGAGCATGCATGCCGGCCAGCTTGATCATCACATGAGCATGCACGGCAATAACCGGAAGACTAGCTGGCTGGTGCACGTGGCCCCTGGGCAGCTGCTCTTCCAGGTTGCAACCTGACGAGCATGCACACGCTCCCTTTTTGGAATAGCAATAGCAGTTAGACTTATATACCGCTTCCTAGGGCTTTCAGCCNAGTTTACATCCTATTCTTATGCATGCCAGTGCTGTGTGTGAGGTAATTTGAGGTGGTTCTGACAAGTGTCGTCGGCATCTTCATATCCGGTCACATGGGTGGCAAGCCACTCCCATCCGGTCACATGGGTGGCAGGCCACTCCCACAAAGGAGGCCACACCCACAGAGTAGGTTCAAACAATTTTTGAAACCCACCACTGTTTCACACATACTGTATCCTTGGGCCCATAGGGTAATAAGATGGTGTGAGGAAGTGAATAATCTAATTCTGCCTGAAATTGCACAAATTCCAATCTTTTCACCTTATTTTCAAATTAGTTTTCATTCATTCAGTTGTCCTAGATCAGATGCTGCTTTAAGAACTTATATCAATTAGTATGGGTAAGAATGACTCATGTGAACATCCTCTATTAGATTGGCATAACATTTTTTTTTATATACAAAATGTTGGTTGCAAACTATTCCACTAAGAGATATATGGGAAGACTATATTTCTCTACCCAGGAATCATTAAAATAACATTTGCATAAGTGTTATTATTTAAAATAATTAAGTTTAAAGCAATGACTGTAAACTTTAAAAATGCAATCATTGCATGTTGGAATTTTATTTGTGACAACTTTCATTAAATGAAGTTTAATATTCTGAACTACTAGTTATATCTAATAGTATTTTTTTTCCATATGTTGTAGCAGAGAGGTAAGCCATACAGGAGTTGAACAAGTTGCTTATTTATTCATATGACAATTTAGAATATCTGGAAGTTTACACATTATGATTTACAACTGGAAAGACAGCTTGTAGCCAGAATGATGGTAAATGAAGAATTTATATCAAATATGCCACTTCCAAGTTTAAAAACAGATCTAGAAAAAGTAATACAGATGCCTAACACAAGTAATATTAGTGCAAAGCAATAGCTAATTCTTTGTTCAAGTGCAGGGATGTTTTTAGAGAAGAGTTTGAAAATGTCAGGTGGCTGCTACAAATACCGCATGAAATTCGACCACAATTTTTACATGTATTGCACATGTAATGCACACAAATGGGCAAAATATCATTGCAGCTGTTGCCATATATGTTTATATGTACAAAGCATGAATATTGTGTAATATTAGATGGGATGGAAAACTTCACATATACAGTGAAGGTCAAAATGCTAATGATAAAGCACATTCTCTGTAAATAAATCAATATATCAAGACAAATAATGCATAGGCCTGCTAGAATAATTACACACAAACGAACATAGATATTCACTCTCTCATACACAGAGAATATGCGAGAACACTTAAATCATAATATTTCTCTTACCAAATCAGGAGATGCGACATTTATTCAAAAATTGCATCTCTATGACTATCCTAAATTGAAACTCTCTAATCTTAAGTAATTATCAACATTAATTACAATGATATGTAAAAATAGAAAACATTTGCAATATTGGATGCTCACCTTTCAACAGGATCTCTAAGCATAACAATCAGCTTTGCATTTGGTTGGAAGGCATGAATAAAATCTGGTATTAAGAAAGGAGGTTCCCCCTCTGTACTGTTGTCATAAAAGAAAATCCAAGCATTGTTGTCCCACATTGTTGAAGCACTTGCCTCTCCTAGAAATGACAAAATCTATAGATGGTTACCCTTAATTTTAGAGACAAAGTAGAATTTGCTATAAATCATACTTCCCAAATATGTCATTATCCGTGTGTTTGTTGTATATTGATTTCTATCACAGAAACTGCATAGACTTAACTGGTACTAAAATTCAACATGTAGAAAGCAACAATTCAGCAAAAAAAATGTATGAAAGCTATAAGCAGAAATATATTTAAAAGTATACACAAGATAACATAAAGACTTTGGTATCTATGATGAATATAGATGTGAATGAGCCATATATTCCATTTCCTTTTAACGTAGAAAACATTCTGAAATATTAAGTCTACTTTCTTTTGATATTGTCAAATTTATATTTTATAAGTCCCAATGTTTGGATATATTTCAAATATGTCTACACTTTAAAGAACATTTATACAAATAAATAATGAAACTCAATGTATAAAGTGATGTGTGGATGCAGAAAAAGGATGATTTGCAAATGCAGAAAGGTTTCAAAAAGTATATTTGTAAACTAGATTTAGTAGTTTTCATTCCCTTCTCTCAAGTTTTTAATTTCTGTGGATTACTGTTTGTTATTTTCTACGTTCTGTAACACTGCTCATCCTGAAAAACAATAGTATAATTATTGATATGTATTACTTATATGACTCCTGTAAATTCCAATGAACTTTACTTGCTACCTGCTCAAATTCTTAGTACATACACAATCCAAAAAATATTATTCTGGAACATGTCAGTTTCTCAGACATATTGATGAGGAGTTTTGCTAACTAAGGCTGCATGAATGAATGAAATAAAATTTACCAATCTATTGTTCATGTCCAATCTTTTTTATTGAATTTGCACTACTATAATATAGCACGTCCGCTATGAAATGTAGCACATATGTATTCATTTATTGTGTCCCTTTAATTGCCCTAATTGCTGAGATGTAGATTTCTATTGTATATTTTGTCATAATTTATATTTGGCAATCAGCTCTTCAAAACTTATTAACTTGGCAATGGCATTCAAAAGTACATTTCCTACAAGTTTTAGAGTCTGACCTATTATGAATTTGAATTAATATTGATGAAAAGGAATTCATATTCAACATAAGATAAATTAATTGCTGTTGCACTGATCTATCAAGTCACAATTGCACAGTAAAAAAATGATACAAATTTTTCATAGAAGCTAAAAGTACATAACATATGATTAAACTTTTCCCTTTTATTACAGAATAGTTCTAGGCTGTCCATATAAAATCCATTATAAACATTCTGATGAATTCATTACTATAATGATCTTAAATTAACAAATCCTGTCTAGAATGCTTAGAGCTTTGTCACTGAGGCAATAGCCATCATTTTATCTGGCAGTATAATTATAACTCAGTAATCATTTGATTCAGAGGCATTTTTGAATGGAAAGTTACACTGACTGTTAAAGTAAGAGGAATACAATACAATAGCAATAGCATGTTTACAGCTTTAATTATATAAAGTTTAATAACATTGTTCCCTAAGTGACCTTCTGATTTTCATATCCTATGGATATATTATGAAATAAATTACCTTTAACAAGTTAATAAAAAGTTTAATATAGTATGCATGTTGATGAAGAGCTGAAGTCAACAATTTTTAGAAAAGCTCATTTCAATAAAGCTGCAGCAGAGATCCAACTGTTTCATAAGAATGTTCATAATTAACATGAATCAATATATTCATGTAAGAGATATCTCTAATGCTAATACAGATGGTTTCGCCTGTCCTTGTCCTTGAGATACAAACCCTAGAAAGAGCATTTAACATTTGTTTATAAAAGCAAGATTCCAGATCAGTGAAGCTAGGTTTAACAGCTTTTGTGAGGAAGTCAAGACATATTAGATCAGGGTTTCCCAACCTTGGTAATATGTGGTTTTCAATTCCCAGAATTTCCCAGCCAACATAGCTAAAGATGAAGTCCATGTGTCTTAAAGTTGTCAAGATTGGGAAACCTGTATTAGATCATGTTAAATGCTGCTTTGCATTAGGGTATCTTAAGGCATTTTTCTATTTCAGAGTGTCAATTAAACAATTGTTGTCCTGCACAAATGCTATAATTCATTCAAAGATGTATGTATGTATGTATGTATGTATGTATGTATGTATGTATGTATGTATGTATGTATGTATGTATTTAATCTTATAAATGTAACAAAAATTGTCTCCAATACCACAGGAAGAAGACATTCGTTAAAGGATGGTTTCCTCGTTCAATGCATTTCTAATTTCCAAATTAGAAAGAGTTCTAATTGCTACTTGCTATTTGTACACAGAGCCTGGTTAAACTTCATTTTTGTCATGCTGACTCCACAGTTGCAACTAATTAGAGCCAGTCTCAAAACAACAATGCTGAAACAGAGGTAAATCCTTTTATATAGATTTAGGTGACTCAATTGAGATAATCAGGAGACAATTTCCTTAGCATTCTGTGCCGGAATATTAGAATAAGGCATAGACTGAAAAAAGCCCATGTAGAATCTACTGGGAAGTGAAGACACACAAACATGAAACCTTATGCAAACTACTTCTAATTATACATGCTTTTTATTATCATGTTTATTGATAGCTATCTTATGATGTTGTTTGAATATTTTTAAATAGACTACATTTCACCGCGTTTTATCATTGCAAGGACAATCAAGGCAGCAATCGTAACATAATTAGTGAGAATGGTCAATTGAAAGGGAATACTAATTATGNTGGAAGGCTGAGTCAACCTTGAGCCGGTGAGATTAGAACCGCTGAACTGCAGATAACAGTCAGCTGAAGTGGCCTGCAGTACTGCACCCTAAACATTGCGCCACCTCGGAACTCTATGCCATAAAGGTTTGCCATCAATGGTGTATGTAGTTATTAAAAATCAACACCAATTCGACGGCACATGAATGGTAATTCCAAAATTGAGTTGAATCTGGGAATTGGGACACATCCAATTATCTATGACTATTTCAAAATATTTTTGTGAGTCATAAACTTTATTCTACATACAAGAATTCTAATTGCTTTCAGTGTATGCACTCTGCCAAATTTGCATTCAAACAAGAAGATATAAAATCATCTTGTAATTGTGTCTCTGAAACAGCTCATCGTCAGATGATAACTAACACCAAGTGTTAGTTGCTGAGATTGGGAAGAGCCAGATTTCATGAATCAATACTCTACAGCTAAACCACTGAGATCAGCTATTCTCAACTGCGGTTCCCTGAAAGCCTGCTAGGGTTCATAAGAAATTGTAACTGATGGAATTTTTATGAGACATGATTCAGCTGCCAGCCTGCAAGTTTGCTGTTGCTGTAAATATTGCAGAAATGTGGATAATGTAAGTCAGAAATTAATTGTATCATGAAGTTTTCTTATTTTTTGCAGGTTTTATACAGAGATTTCCTTAGGCTTGAAAATTACTTCCAAGATTCTTCCAAGGTATAAAGGTTAAAAAGAAAAAGCTGTTGAAGGAAAGTGCTCACATGGTTGTTCTCATTCCAAAACACCCCACATCTCCAGAAAAAGCATCTACTATATGACCAATCTATCTGTTTATATTGTTCTGGCAACATAATTCTGCAGCTGGGCAGCAACTAATCATTTTAAGAATGCAGGCCACAGATCACAGCATAAACCATCCAGGCAGCAGTAGAAAAGCACCCACAATGTAAATTCCTCTGTTGTGCTTATACAACATTAACAAAAGATTAAAAGAAGTGATCTATTGGCTTCTCAAATGTCCTTTTCTCCAGTCAGGCATGATAACTACATCACTTCCTTTAGGCAAAGATATTGTTGTTTCCTAAATTTCCAGATTCTTACTTTAGAAATCTAATACTATTAGAGGAAGTTATTTATTTTCTCCACACCATGCAACATTTTTATCTACTCCTATCATGTCCCTCTCACTCTTCCTTTTAAAATTTAAAAGCCTTTTCTTTAGGGATCACCTCAATGCTATAATTATTTTAATTGCTCTTTTGTGATATCCCTTTTTAGAAATACGCGGATTGCAACTGCAGACAATATTTCCAAGGCTGACCTTGTGCTAGAGTAGTGGTTATGCAAACTTAGGATGGACTCTGTCTTACTTGCGTTGAATCACATTTTGCCACTGCATTGCCTATTTTCTCCTATCTGGAAAGATTCCTCAGAGGAACATTAATCCCATTTATGTTTTTACTACTTTGAATAATTAGGCCATTAAAAAACCTGGCCATCTCATTGTTCAGTGCTACTGCCAAATCATTTGTTTCAATAGCTAGAGAGCTTAAAAGTGCTGTTTATTCACTTCTGCTGGAAGTCAATTGACAAGACATGAGATAAAATCCCTACTCAGCCATGAAGCTTATTTGGTGAACTTGGAGCAGTCATTAGCCTGCATCTTAATCTACCCTATAGCATTGTTGTGTGTATAAAATAAAAGAGAATCTGAGTGAGAGCTCCTTAGAGGACTGTTAAGATGGAAGTATAATTAAAACTCTGGAGTACAGGCATATTCAACAGAAGTTAGTAAAAGGGTATTGTCTGAAAGAATAACAAGAAGCACATTTTGTTGTCAACCTTGCCCTAAACTGAAATAAATGTCTGAAATAATGACCATCAAATAAACATTAAATGCTATCCATTTTAACCTCTTTTAGCTAGATTATGGCAAATAAGAGCTGAAAGTTCTGTTTTAAATGTTATTTTAAGATGTTTTATTAAGCTATTCTGCCCACAACTTGCAGAAATAATTCCAAGCTTTATTAAACTAAGACAAAGACTTTTGCTTACATCAACACATTGTGCCCTGGGCAAATAATTCAAGGTAATGATATTGTTGGTGCCATACACATATCAATGAAAATGCCTGCTGGTAGGATTTTAAGGCAACTTGAAACAGATTTCAGAACATGAAGTCAGATCTCTTGATTATTTTTCCTGCATCATTTACTAGTTGAGAAACTTCAGAATTCAGCCGTGCGAGCGATTGTGGGTGC